TGAGATTATAGTTCATTTAAGCGTGGATTTGACTCCTGTGGCACTTCGATAAGTGCCAAGGCAAGGGACAACTAGTTGCAGAGCTGCATGCGGGGCTGTACGGTTACATGTCTGAGCAGTTCTCAGCTGCCAGCCGTCGAAATGCAGAGCTTTATAAACGCAGAGGTTCATCCAGTGCCGTTGAAGTTTTCCACCCGTGATATGGATAATGACACAGGCAGCACGCTTGCTGGATTTGTGGGTAACACCGACTGTGGTGCTGAGAAGGCTGGGAATATGCTGGGGATCAAGATTAGATTTCAGAAATGATCTTGACAAACTAGAAAAATGTTCCGGAGAATCAGGATGCTCCTGAAGCACAAAGGCAAGGTCAAAGCCAGTGGTTGCAGAAATGTAGGGTGGGGACCGGCCAAGTAGGGAGCAGCTCCATGAAGAATCAGGAGGTTATAGTGAACCTCAGTCTGAGAATGATTCACCAGGCTTATGGCTATCGTAGCATGAACAAACAGGAATATAGCCTATGTGGCACATGAGCGCTCTGAAAGTCCAGAGTGAAGACAAAAGAGCAAGCAGTACAGCAGATGAAACCTCAGCATGAGATTTAGGTTAGATATCAGAATTGTGATGCCCCAGAAGAGGCAGCATGGGAAATTTGGGGATTTCCCTTGTCCCTTGTTGCAGATCTGTAAGAGCAAGTTAAAGAGACTTCTGTCAAAACTGTCTGTGCCTTGGTAGTGGTGGTACTTCTTGAGGTGCTCTCCAGTGTGCTTGAAATCTGAAATTTGGATATATCAAACAGGGTCTTATGTCAGAATTGATTTTTGCAGTTCTTGTGATCCAGCCTGTCTTAAGGGCTGTATTTTTTAAGTGACTTCCCCTGACCTCCGAAAAGGAATTTACTATAGGAAGTAAGTGGTATATGTGAAGTTGAAAAACTTTACTTGTGTTTAATCCATTGTCCGTGTCACACTACTTTTTTTCCTTTTCGGTAGGAGGAGCTTCATGTCCTTACAACAGCAGGGTTGTAAGCAGGTAGTTATCATAGTGGAGCTGTCACAGCTGCAGGCGTGGGCAAATGCAGGTCAGGGGGACAGAAGATTATGCTGTACTTCTGTGTTCTTCTTTAATTTCTGAACTCCAGCTTTGTACACTTCACTTGAGGACATTTATTTAAATATTTTCATATGAAGTTTGAATTTCTGAAATAAATCAAGATAGTTTCCAACCACTGAAATTAAACATTAGCTTCAGCGGAACTTTAAATACTCCTTATCCTATTGTTTTGATGGGATTATTAAAAAACATTGAAGATATCCTGTGCTGCAATATATGTAGAACCTAGAGCAGTGTAAGAAGGTTAATGTTATTTGAAACAATTTCTAAATGTGTGACTATTCTACATTTTAATTAAAATTTTCAGATTTGATAATATTTTTAAATAAAAAGCTTTTGAAGTTTATATATTTTATGAGGAAGCAAAAATTCCAGTTGCACACTTTTTAGCAATAAAGGAAGAAAAAAAATTAGATTTTTCCATCAAAGCAAAAAATTCCTTTTGCTTCAAATTACAATTTAGAAACATTTCTCTACTTCAGGAGTATTGGGACTCTGATTTCCATCTCTAATTATATTTTAAGTAGCTGACACTATTCTGACCTTAAATCAATACTAATTGATAGTTTCAAAATCTGCTCTGAAAAGATTGGAAATCATATATTCAATAGTAAAACGTTTAAATATAAAACATAAGGGAATGAGTCAGGAGACTCATTGCCTCAGGACATCTATGAGATGATGGTTCTAGGACTCAGATCCCCAAGAACATACATGTCCCTGAGGCCCTCGTTGCACATCTGTTTGCATTCAGCATGGACTGTCCTGCTCCCAGCCGCTCATTGCTGCTGCCACCCTTCTGCTAGCAGAAGAATTTGTGTGGTTGTGAGATAAATTAAGGACCTAGTCCACCTGAAAAGTAAAACAGCTGCAACAACAACAACAGCAACATAGTGTTGCTACTGGCAGGGTCGGTCCTCTGAGTTTGGTTTCTAGACAGCTCTATGAACTGTAGGTCCAGCACAAAAGAAATTATGAAACTGCATCAGGAAGGCAGTGGGGGTGGTGCCATCCCTTGTCTTTATAGACCTAGTGCTCCATGACTAAATAATTTTAGGTGCTGTTTAATTTTTCACAATTTTAAAAGTGTTATGCTATTCTTTGTCAGCATTAAAAATAACAGCTTTTCTTTCATTTGGCAGTATCAGAGCTGGTTTTTATTAATTTTCAGTAAAAGCGTCTAGGTATGATACTGAGGTAGATGAAACATTATATAAGTACATATTTTCAGATAGGTAAATGCTGTTTGTGAAAACTGCCTGTAGCTTATAAAAATAATCTTACCTTTGCCCAAATCTATTTTTCTAACTGCCCAGTCTCTCCATATGGTATTTGTCATGAGAAATGTTAGAATTTGGTAGTTACAGGTGTAACATTTAAGTGCATTCATGGAAAGATCACGTGTCACTACTAGCCAAATGTGTGGATGGAATTTACTTACTGAATTCATCTTCAGTCAGTGACCATCCTTTATATCCAAATGCCAATATTTGTATTCCGTTTAGACATAACTGAAGAACCTTGGCTACCTGACAGATGACTTACTCGTATTTTTATATATGAGCAGTATGGGTATACTCAGTAGTCATACAGTACATTAATGTAACTGAAATGCCTCTCAAATAGCTATTAATGAGGTTATCTAAGCTCCAGTTTCTCAGGAGCTCTTTAAAACAGCCCAATATAGATTAGTACCTGGGAGAGGCCAGTGAGCTTTGCCAGCCACTACTTTAATTGTAGCAGCAGATCAAATAAAGCTTTGGGCCATTAATCATTTACTTTTGAGCTTCCCTGTATGTGATTGAGAGGAAACTGAAACCTTCCTGAATGGACTCCTTATGGCTTCTTGCAGTATTCACTGTCTTACTGATGATTTCTAGGAAGACAGAGAAATCAGAGCAATTCCTGACTTGGTGAGGATGCTTCCTCTGTGACTCTGGTAAAGACAGTGTTAGAGGGCTCTGTCTCTGTCTTGTGAATCTTTCCTAACTCCTTAGTTCTTTCTCCTTTTTGCAGGTTTTGCTTCAAATGTTGAAATTTCCACCTTTGGTACCTTTTTCAGCTAAAGGGCTGTGCGAGCAGGCACTGGCTCCTGCTTTCCTCTCTGAGGACCACTGTTTATTCCCAGCTTTTACACAGCGAGCTCTGCATAGGCTTCAGTTCACGGATCCCTCTGCCCACAAATCAAACCACTGTTGCCTTCTCTCTTAACCCTTTGAAATATCTTTTGGCCTCTACTGTGTTTTTTAGGCTTTCATCTTGGCCTAAAAAGCTATTGGGCCTGCAGCCTGCAAGTAGCATCTTCACTTGTAATAAAAAAAACATAGTCTTGAGAATATGTGTAAGTATAAGATGAGAAGCAGTTAATGGAGGACTGTTGCAGCTTCCCAGCCTTGCTTCTCTAAGTCTCATATTGAATTACAACACACTATTCATGAAGAAAAACCCATTCAGAGAGGTGAGACACAGAGTTACCTTGGCCAGGTCACATTCAGTATT